CGGTCATCGCTTCGATTGTTTCGTTTGCCTCTCTTATGATAATTGTTTGCTTTGCCTGTCTTGGAGTCCGATTGTGGCAAATCATCCACAATATTACCATCACTTGAATCCATTTCTTTGCAACCAATGACTGACTTATAGTAAACAAGTGGTCGTCGATTGCCTTCTGTTCCGATGGAAACGGTTCCCAATGTTTGGCCGAAATATCTTTGAGTCAACTCATGAAACAAATACCGATATTTAGGCAGAAGTGGAGGAAACACGAGAACACTATTCAAGACAATAATGACATCAATTGAGTGATAATTAGTTCATTAGACTATAAAACAGATGCCAAACCTCTTGAGATGATCTCTTTGTCTGAATGATTCAATCTCTTCGACAAGTCTTTCGGCGAAATCCGAGTCATTAGGAGATAAATATCTCCAATCAGTTTGTCTTAAATCCAGTATTTAGTGGTAAATAGTTTTCGCGATATTCATTGAAAATTGACAAAAATATATATTAAATCAATTAATTTATACAAAATTCACATCAAATTTATATTCAATTATTAAAAATAAGTTTTAATCTTAAAAATTGTCAAACAATTCATGTTTTCATTGATACACAACATATGAGTCATACAAATATTCGGTTACTTTTATCACATGTATTGCAGTCCACTATGCCTTTCATAAAGTGCTTTCAATGGCCTTCCCTTTGATTTATTTGTGACACTCAGTGCTCGTTATATGTGAGAAGTGCACAACAAATGCAATCATTTCATTGACTCTGTGGTGGAGTTCATGCACTCCCTGTCCATCCAATAGACTGTTCACCGATAGTCCATTCATAATGACCACTCATTTACGACAACTTCATTCATACACAACCAACCAGTGATCACTTAACCACATATTTAGCATTCAATTCAATTATATTGTCATAAATATGTTTAAAACGAACCCAATTTGCAAAATTAATGACCAGGATGCAAATTCCATTATCCTAACCAACAGTAAATAGTAGCTACCATAATATTTGAGCATGCACAATATGACCACATTATCCTTATGGCTTCACATTTGGTGGTGTTGTAGACCAATATATGGTGATCTTTTAGACAATGAGTCATTGATGGGTCATTAGTTGGCATACCATAGCAAACATTGTGGCAATATTTGAGTAAATGTCTACATATACTATCATAAGTTTATAATGAATTACGGTGAATGACAATTGAAATAAATAATAGTTTGTTTAATTGTATTGATATATAAAGTATTGGTTGACATGTGAAATACAATTGGATTACACATAATGAGAGCAATTAAGACAATAACTGAACAAAAAGTTAATGTTTTTTATAAACTGTAAAAATAGGAGACGATTAATGGAGTGATATATTCATGGCTTTCGGTTATTAGTGACAGAATTAGCGTTAGAATTGTCGGCATTCTGGTGATCAGCCGTCGGCTCAAAGATGACAATCTCTATGACCCTCAGACCCCTTTCTATGGGATCCGTTACGTAAAGATTTCTCGGTTTCCAAATCGTGTCGTTCTGTTCGTCAATGAACGCCGAAATCCTTTTCAAACACTTGAATAACAAATCAATTGTTTAGAAATGGTTTAAATGAATGCAAACAATTCATGAATACTTTGTCATAATAAGTGTCGAAACAAATGTATGTCAAGTAAGCCGAGAAACACGCGAAACAACTCTCACAACAGGTCCGGCCATTCATGGTCTCCGCGTCTGAATATATGGTATTCAATGTGTCGATCAGCTGTTCAAACGATTGTCTGTCAATCTGTGGACAATTGCAACAAATAAGTCACTCATTGGTGGCGGAAATCTGTGTCCAATGCATACATATTCCTCCAACTCTTGCGGGAACTTCATCTGAAACTTAACGTCAGTGCCGTCGCTGTAATCCCTTTGGATAAACACTTTCTTAACGGTCGTTGAGTTGGCCCTCATTTGGTCCGAATTCAGACATTTCTAAACCAATCAATCTATTAATCAATGTCTCAATTGATTCACAATTAGCGCAAAGATATTACCATTTCTTTGATATTGTTTTTTGACATTTTGTCGCAATTGTCACTCAATTGTCTCACAAAAGCATATCTCTAAGAGTTGGTAACAATGGTGTGAATCATGTAATGAATGACAACTTAATCCATAAAAATGTTTCACTAAATGTTAAAATCACTAAAATATGAATCAATTTATAAATAAAACTAAATTTCTTTCAAATTTCATTACAAATCAGTGAAAGATGTCTCTCAAGAGTCACTCAAATATAGCGTCACTTTTGAGACGATTCACTCATCAGAGATGTAACACATGTTATGAATGACTCTTTCGATACATGTTTACAAACAACTGAAAGGCATTTGATTTGTGTTTTGGTGTGAATTGAGTTGATTTGCAGTCCAGACGTGCACTCAATGTAAGCGACAATGGATTCAAAACTATTGGAAAATTCAAATCCAAAGCTATATCTGAAGTCAGAGGACAGACAGACCACGACTGACGAGGAAGACGACCGACTCGTCGATGAGATCGACGCGCGCGAAGTGTTTGATCTGATCCGTGGTATCCGAGACCCGGAGCACCCGTTCACTTTGGAACAGCTGAATGTGGTGTCCGAAGACAAGTGTGAAGTGGATCTGCAGAGGAATATATGCAGTGTTTGGTTCACTCCCACTATAGACCACTGCTCGATGGCCACACTCATCGGACTGTCCATTCAGGTGAAACTGATCCGCTCTCTGCCCGAACACTTCAAAATCGATGTCTATATCACACCCGGAAGTCACGCCACCGAAGAGGCGGTCAATAAGCAGTTGGCAGACAAGGAGAGAGTGGCGGCCGCTCTCGAGAACCAGCACTTGCTTGAAGTGGTCAACCAGTGTCTCGTAGACTCCTTCTGAACACTTCCCAACCATTCACTCATTAAAAGTCAATTCATTTGAATGTAGAGTATATTGATATGTCTGAAGACATAATCATATGATTTAGACACCAAATGGTTATTAAATAGATTTTATTTAATTTTGTTAATAATTCGTTAAACACTCACTGTTTGAACACTAATTATAAAAATATTTAAAATCAATTGAAATACAATTTCTAATATACGTATAAATACGGCTTTATATAAATCATTAGCCCTTTATGTCTGTCATTTGAATCACGTTTATAGGCTATACAGAAATGGCTATCAATTATAGCTTCATATGACTATCACTCGAGTAATCTATCTTTAGTCGAAAAATAGCCGAAAAGTTATTTAAACAGTGTTTGTAATGACAGACATAAGTACAGTATATAGTATTATGCATATGAAGACATGGATCTAATGGGTCGGTGCCTTCACTTTCCCGGTTGTCCCACAAGAATCCATTTACATCGGGCTGTGACCGCACTCTTACGTACGACTCGTTTCTTATCGTTTAATGTTTTCCTTAAACTCCTGACGACCTGATCCCTCAAGTGATTCAGAATGGAATCATCAAAATTGTTGGCGATTTGTGCCAAACAGTTCAGTGCAGAGCTTCTGACCATCAGATACGGACTATTGAGGGATAAATGGACACAATTCTCGACAGTCGTCTTAAGACTGGGATCTAAAATGCGCTCATTTTTATCAACCAATATCTGATGGATGGCGTCGAGGGCTGCTCTTTGATTATCGTGTGAACAAGTGGTCGAGTGTTCACTAATGGCGTCCAAAAGCATCGGTAAAAGTCTCTTGAGTTCATTACAAAACACAGCCTTTGGAATGAAATTGAGTTGAGTTAATAAAGCGCTTAAAAATCTCTCCTTTCTCTCCATATCTTCGCTCTTGTATTTCAAATATCCAGTCAATAGGGGATCAAAGGTCTCGAAATAGAAGCTCTGGTTATAAAGGAGCCGAACCTTTGCGTTATTATCACGAGTCAGACAACTCTTGTCCGAACTCTGAATGATTGCAAACGCTTTTGTCGCTTCATTTCGGACTAATTTATTCTTGTGTTCTATTAATCTCATGAGTAAACTAATGAAATCTTTTCTCAGAGGGTGTCCGCCAATCACCAAACCTTTGGTCATCCAAATCAATGCATTAATAAGCAATAAATGATTTTCTTCCGACTCTTCGCTGTCATCAAGTCTTGTCTCGATTGGTGTCAAAAATTGTTTGAGTTTTTCGTTTAAAATGTCATTTTTGTGATCAAATCGATTAACAAGAACTCCGATTGATTTTGTTGCCAAAACACATATCTTCTTGTGGTTGTACTTATCATTTGTCGCAAATATTATGAGTTTATCAAACAATTGCATCGATTGGTTGGCATCGATTTCATACTTCAAGTTGGAAATGAGTCCATTAATTAAGCCGAAGACAATCAAAGCCTGGTTGGCGTTCAGCGAATCCAAAAACTTTAAACCCGTTTCATAAGTACAGAAACAAGTGGGCGGAAGCACTGGTAAGAGTTGATCCACTTCTCCCATAACAGAGAATTGGGACAAACTTTCAAATAACTGTTGACTATATTTATAACTTAGTTTTGAAACTCCTCTTCCAAGAACTCCGAATAAGCTGTCCATTAGTCTCGTGTTGACAACAGTTCCCGACTTGTTATCCGTACAAATAGATACGTGAATACAGTGTTGAATCAATCGGTCATAACATTCAGTGAATAAGAATGAGTCCACTTCTTCGGTCACTTCTACTTCCAGTTGTTTATCAATACATTTCGATAGGCTTTCAGTCAAATGCGTTGAATAATTCTCTTGGTTTTCATCAAAGACTATACAATTGAAGACATGAATGAAAAAATAAATTTATAAAAAACAAAACCGTAATCAAACTCACAGTAAGAATTGCATTTGATTTGTTCGACCAAATGACAGGTTATTAACTTAAAGCAATTCAATTCACACGATGCATATTCCATAGCATTTAAAGTGCAAACAACACGCTTTTGATTCACTTCTGTTGTGTAATCGGAATCTACAATAATTCAAAAGTTTACATTTCAATGGTACCGGTACTGTAATAGCTCTGACTTTTAAGTTACCAAAATTATCGATCAATGATGCAATAAACTTGTCCATCAATTGAGGATTCAATTTAGTAATCGATTCAATCAATGAATAGGTGTTGGATCTAACATTCAAGCTATTTATCAATATTTATTGCAGATATTAAATCAATATAAAACAACTCACAGTAATTGTTGTCCATTGAAGCAATTCTCAAGCAAAGAATGTAAGACTTTTGAAATCACTTTCCAGTGATTGGCTTTCATTTCAGGCGAATTAATCAGTTGTTGAAGACATAAAACTACACTTTCTCTTAGATTATCTTTCTCTGTGTCCGCCACAGATAGAGATGTCATAAGTGTAAACAAGGACTCAAAATAAGTGAAAGTAATTTGCTTTTGAGATAGTTTTCTAGAATGCCTTAAAAATTGAGAAATTGACTCAATTATATCAATACGAGTCGACTCTTTTTGACAAAATGTGAACTGTTTGAGTAAAATAGGCATTACTTGTGCCATCAATTTGTTGAGAGCGTTCACATTTGATGAAATGGTAGCCAACACTATATTGACTGCCGATTCCATTAAATCCAATTCTGGTTTATTAAATGCATTGCAAATATCGGCCCAAATCTGTTGGACAAATGAATCAAACGCTGACTGATTTAAAACCAATGTATCGCTTATTGATGTTAAAGCTCTCAATGCGTGCTCTGAGATCTCACTCTCCAATAGTTTAGGCTTAAGCGCATCGATCCTAATGGCTGTCCAAAGCTGTGCAACAAATTCATTGATTCTTTCGTATCCATAATTGGGACAAATGTTTTCAATCACTTTATAGGAATCAATTTTCGCAGTCAACAGCTCTGACTCTAGTTTCTCTAAAACTAATGGAAATATAAATGGAGAGAAATGAGGAGAAGCTGTGAAACACCGGTGCAAATCGTAGGACAAGTCCTCCTTAGTTATGCCGTATTCATCGTCGGGAGTCTATTAAGTCAAACACTTTTAATAAAATCATTATTAAAACAGACAATAATTGTATTCTTACGGAAGTAAAGAGAACCGGAAAATAACAGGAAATCACTTCAAAGACATCTTCAGTATAGGGATCTATTAATATACCGGTATATGAAGTATAGTTGCGTTTTAAATCTTATTATCAAATCAAATCTACGAATACCTAAATCCAAAGTTTCGACGACAGAGTTAACGAGTCTGAAGACCACAAGAAGACATCTGGGGTCGCGCTCGCCTTCAATCAATTGGATTAATCCGTATATAAATTGCGGTCCAATTGCTTTCAACTCTAATCCCATTAAATATACCATAATTATGGTCAATAAACTGTACATTCAATTACCGGTAATAATAAATTCATGCAAACCTTCGCAATATTTTGTGAACAGTTTTGTCAATAACTGGAAGACAAGGAATCGGTCGGAAACCGAGTACTGTTGGACAGCAATCTCTTGGACTAATCCATCAAATATTGTTTGACTCATATTTTTGTCAAAATTCAAACAATCAATCTTTAAATAAAAACACAATTAGTGTTAAAAATATCTTTTCAAAATCAATACAAACAATGGCTAAGAGTCCGGAAAAGACATTAGAGATGAGAGAGTAATGATCCCGAAGTCGATCGCAATAGAAACTCGTCAAGTGTTGTACTAATTTGGGTGAAGATTAAGAGTGATGTGAAAATGTGTTTAAATGTTTAGTCACACAAATGAGACCTTCTTTGAGTGACAACAAGTCATTTGGCAATGAAGTGACAATTTGTGTCAAAATATTCAATCCTTTTGAGCGCTCATTGGTTTCAGGATTAGTCAGAAGTGGACTAAAATGTGATCAATTGTATCAATTAATAGTCAATTCATACAACACATGGATTCAGTGATAATTACCCCAAATCTATGACCACTTTCTCAAGTGATAATCTGTTAGTTTGGATCACTTTTGGGTGCAAATGAGTTATAAATCATTACAAATCAATACAATTAAGACATTAATGAGTCATACGATGGCAAACGTTGTGGACATCCATTGGACTCGTTTGGCAGACAATGGCTTCAATCCAATCGCTTGTATTATCCATTGTGTGGACCAAATGGTGACTTTTATCTCATAAACGGATTATTATTGCAATCAAATGGCACTCAAATGAACGCAAATGTAATCAAAACAAACACACAATTAATGGATGTTTTTGTGAATACTTGGGACAAATCACGTGCTCTTACGGTATATGCACTTCAATCTCACTATAATTGACACCAATTTTATTGATTTTATTTCATTACTATTCATGTATTTATATGTATATGTATTTGCAAGTATTGCCATATATTTGCTTCAATTATACATACATTTCATTATAATATAATAATGTTTTAATAATATAATTGGATTATAGTTTGCAATCAATTGTTTAGAGATTTCATTGAATAAGTTGTGTACAAATCCGTGAAAAGCAAACAAAATTCTTGTGAATATTGTTGTGTAAGATTATTGCAGAAAAGTACCATGCTCATTGGTTAAGTGAGGTATAGGGTGACAGTGAATCTTTGAGATTGTGATCAAATTGACGACCAATTGATTGACAAATGTCTCGCTTTTTGTCACTTCCGATGAGAATAAGCCGTAAGTATTAGCCATTCATAGCAATGATGGTGTGTTTGATAATGAATCAAACTTTGATTGTCTGCTCATTCTGACAGAAATGTGTGGCAAATATATATCACATGTGAATGCAATGAGTGGTCATCGCGTGTCTGGGGATCTATTGAGTCATAGAGTGGATGAGTTGAGTGATGCGATGATGGCCAAGAGGTGTGTCATATACTGCAGTCACTCGTCGGGTCGCTTCAAGACAAACCGTGCGGTTGTGCAGCGCTTCTACCGTCTGAATTGGGGCGCTTGGATCAGACCCCGGGCCGGGAGGGCCAAACACTTGTGGTCCAAACCATACCACATCAAGTGGTGGGCTAAACAGCATGTCTTCTGTACGGATGAGCACAACAAAGTGTTGGACCAAATGGTCGGCGCTTATTACAAGAGGCCGACCTATTTCGTGGACGACCCGTACGAGCCCTATCAGAAACGACACGACTTTCCATACGTACCCCTCGGCAAGAACTCTGTGACAACCAGTTATATAAACACATTATATGAATATAAGTCCAAACGTTAATCCATTCATA